GATTAGATATCAGTTAGTATCTAGCTGACCGGCGTGGGATTAACCGAATTTTTCCCTGTACATTATAAGTGTAGAGTGCTTTTCAAGTCATTTTAAAAGGCTCACAAATATAGCATAATAACAATTAAAAGGCGAAAGTAATATGAATAAATTTTAATCCAGAATTATAATAATTATGTATTTGCAAGAATATGTTACAAAAAGGTTATTGTGGTACAAACTAAAGTTCGCATATTCTGCCACACATAATGGCGTGCAAATTTGTCTTAAAGGGATTTTTACATAGAAGTTACATACATTATGAGTCATTATGAGTCATATATAGGCAATTCTTATAATATTTTTTCACTAACATCATCACATTATTAAAATATATTATTACGTTATCAAATTAATTACAATGTTTCACGCAAATTATCATTAATAGAGTAATATTTTTTGAAAACTTGATTTTTAAAATTATAAACCTTGATTGCCATACAAAAAAGTGTTTTTCCTATACAATATAAATTTTAAATATAAATTTTTGGCACAGCCAATTTCTTCGACAGATGTCTATTCCCGATGACTTAAAAATATATATTTTTTTATGAACGAATAATATATGGAGGTATACGAACATTATAATCCTATAATATTATTAAATATTAGTTTATAATAATAACTACAATAAAAGTAGCAAGAGACTTGACATGAGCAGGATAAATACAATTTAACAGAATTTTCATTTGTAACACACAGTCAAACAGACGACGAAACTCATAAACGGTAATTAAAAGGCCAACAACGCACTTGCGAGACTTCTGGCAATATGAGTGTCTATGGGCAGTGGTATCACTAAAAAAAGATCGGTAATTAAGAAATGGTTAGGTACTTCATTAAATATATAAATATCTTGAAGTTATTGAAAGTATTTAACATCTGCCAAATCAGTCGTTAACAAATTTAATTAAACTTTCAGTCCCGCCTTTATTTAGATATATTAACTTACTTTATTAGTTTTTACCCTTATATATTTATGACGCTAAAATTATCAGAATAAACAATTCCATGGCTATATATAGGTACGGTTACGAATAATTTATTTTTTTCTACCACTAAATTTTGCCATTTGTTTAGGTGCTCAAAATCGTAATTCGATACTAGTTTTATTGTAAGATTTGAGACAGATATGAGATTTTACGAGTTCATTTTAATCACGTCTAGACTTTGTCTTATTCAAATAAAATTTTGAGACAAAGGTACCTTATAGTTGAGACTCTAAAGCACTAAATACGCAATAATTACTTTATAATTTAAAATCTAACAATATTAAAAAAAACTATGTCTGACAGCATTTTCTCGTTGTACCTCCGTTCTAAGACGAGAATAGGTTGGATTTCGCCTAGGGTTCATAGGAACCAGGTGTAACAAATACATAGCATTCGGATGTTACTATTATCCAAATACTAGTATTTCTTTAATAATCAACGATTTAATGGCAACCAAATAATATTAAACTATTATTCCTAAATGACGATGTTTTACTGTTATCTAATAATGTACATTACGAAAGATTTTTGTTTACAACTTATATCGCGTGTCCGTACTTATGCGTACAAACTCTCTCTGCCTATTAGATAATTTTCTTCCAAATCGAAGAAATAAGCAAGATTATTGTTTAGGCTTATATCCTTGGCTTGGAAGGTACAACGCTGTACCTTCGTACGCAGTGATTACGTACTTAATTTAGTTATAATAAGTCACGGCGCGTATGAATTGTTATGTAATTCAAATATTTCGTCAATGCCGAGTTGTACGAGAACATTTTTGAGTGGATAAATCAAAATGGAGGTTACCGGTTGACGTCACGCTCTGGCAGGGCCGGGGACTATTCATCCCTTGCGACCTTGTTTTGGTCCAGGCGCTGAGTTACACGTGGAAAGTTAAGGGGACGCGCTTCTATTACTTTATTGTTATTTTACATATACGTTTCGTAAAGTATTTTCATTCAAAAGAGGCAATTAAATTTATGTTTCAAAAGTGTTCATACATAAGAAATAATTTGTATTTTGCAAAAAACTGCATGTACCCGACGTATCTAACGTGTTTAACGTTAAAAATGGTATCATTGATGACAAGAAATTTTTAATTTAGATTTTTTTTTCATTTCTAAAAAAGGCTTCAAACATAAGTGAATAATTTATATTTTCCTAAATGCATGTACCCGAAATCTCTAACGTGTTTTATAACGTTAAAGACGGTATCACTAAAATATGACAAGTTATATTTAAATTAGACCTTTTTTCATATTCAAAAAGACTTCAAACATAAGTGAATAATTTATATTTTGTTAAAAAGACTGCGGCTATAATACTAAAATATGTCGTTATGTCCTATGCTAAATTTAAATCATAATAAGAGATTTGTTTAACGGATATTACAAGTTTGAATCTACATAAAATAGTGAATGGTATCTATTATAAACACACTATAAATTCAAACAAGAAACACTTTATATCATAAATCTTGAGTTAACACAGCTTCCCTTTAAATCCTTGAACTTGTCATGTAAGGTCACGTCGATTAAAAAATAAAGTTGATTCAATGAATGCCCTTTGGTACTTCTAAATCCGAAGGTCAACACCATTAATTCATTCATTCCTATAATGTATTCACTGTACTTTGCCCTTAGAATATTTTTATTGATAAAACCGGCATTTGAATTCTATTGTCGTTGAGTTAGGAAGGGCAGATATGGGCAAAAATGGCCGCCCGCCTGCAGCCATTTTTTTTTTGCCCGCTGGCTTTCATCTCGGTCAGTGACTGACGAACTCTCTTGGTATTTTTTCGTGCATTGGTTAAGCAAAAGTGGACTTTATTCCTTTATAATAAATTCTAATCTATGGATTCTGAGATAGGCAAACTATTCAGATACAAACTCTCAAATCACATAAAAACTCTCAAATACATGTGCAACCCATTCAAACACTTACACATTCAGGCATACTTAATGTCTTAGACTTACAGTTGAAACACTAATAATACTTTTTTGAAAAATTGTTCTAAACATGTACCATGTTCCACGAAATAATTGTTATCTAGTTACTTTTTCGTTAGCGTCACAGGGACACCCATATTGTGGCGACTTTTTAGCGTTGAAGAAATCTTTATACGTATGAAATTTTTTGTCACAATGCTAGACAATTTTGTCACGAACAAAGTTTGTATTATTTATAACGTCCATACTTTGTTTATAAAATGGACTTTTGTTCTAAGATTTATTTATAACGTCCATACTTTGTTTATAAAATGGACTAAGAAACTTGTAAGCATGGTAACGAACTCGGTACCATCTTTGAAATCGAGAATAATAATCATTAAAGTGAACTAAACGCTCAAACAGGTGTTACATTACGTTATTGAGTTGGGTGGTCCAATCGTACAGTATCGATTTGACAAATTATAAAATTACTAATTGGCATTATTAATAATATGACCAAATAATAGTGATCGAATAGTAACATTATTCAACATTATTTAACATTCCATTAAAGGCAACCTTTGGTGACGTAGGACGTCAAACAGAAAGTTACGTAAGTGTCTGAGCTGTCATCAGATGCGTAATCATCTTATTTAATAAATCTCACGAACTTTCAAAATCAGCAGTATCAATTCGTTTAAGTACTGTACTATCGTAAATAGGTTACGTGAAAATGAAACACCAACATTCTTATAAAAATATAATTAAGTGCAATTGCTCGAAAAAATTGGTACAGATTGATCAAACATCAATTCAATTGAATGAATCGAGTTTAAAATCACATTAAATGCTTGAAAAATTGTAATTTAAATTTACTTCAAATTAATGAAGCAAATCCAAATGTGTATATTACGGTATAAAATTATGGAAATTGAATTTTAGCACACTTACACTGAATGAGGGCGAAGGGCGAGGGATGTTGTGGGGTGCGACTCCGTGTGGAAGGTGCACGTGAGTGAACCTTGCACATGGAGCCCCATCACACTCCTATCGTGCTCCGCCCTCACCATACAATGCAAGCATGGGTTTTAAAATTATTAAAGGCCAGTTCATTTTAGTTAAATATTCGCCAAAAATTAAATTTCAGAAGTTCGTTACATAGTGTTTTTTCCGATGCAATGCAATGATTATTCTAAAAATAAAATGAAAATTAAATGTCACACAAAAATATAAAAAAATTAAATCTAATGATTTAAATGCGTTTGGCCATTCGCAATTGTCCGAAAACTTATTCTATAGAATGAAATTAATTTTTATAATGAGAAATAATTAAGTAACTCTGCCGACATGTTTTCTCAATATAGCAGCGGTGTTAAGCTTGTTAAAATCAATTTCATTCAAACTAATTGAAGTTAGTCTTATACATAATATGGCGTACATTAATCAGTCTTAGAAATGGTTGTAATTCTTGAAATTCTCACATCATACATTAATTGGATTAGTAACAACATTCACTTACATTTAGATGTTAATTTTCGAAACAATGCTAAAATCGGCTACATATAAATCATTTCCTAAAATCATAAATCTAATAAGGCATCCAATGGCCACATTCTAATGAATGTCTTAAGTCTAATACAAAATAAAATGCAATTAGCAATACAATGAAACACAAATCGTTAAAAATCATTTAATCATGTCAGTTTAGCCTAATTAAATCTAAGAATATGAAAATGTCAAAAAATAAAATGGATTAAAACTAGCATGCATAAAATGAAAAAAATATACGAAATTAAATTACACTTAGCTAATTCATTGAGTTGGAAAGATGTTGAAATTTAATGATGTTGAATTTAATGATATTGAATTTAATGATGAAGGCTTTGGTACGCAACAGATTGAATGGGAATTTGAATTTTAGCTGCAATTTTAGACTATTAATTTTCGATTTTATTGATTATGCCGTCAGTAAATTAGCTTTGTATTACTTAATTCGTAAAATTGAAATTACTGTAAAAGTAATTTCGCTCCCTTCAATTCAGGGCCATTTCTTGAAAATGACCTTGAATGGGAGAGGCATGTGGATGGTACCATAGGTACCCTCCAAGCCTGGTACCTCGTCTCCCTCCGGTATTGCCCAGTCGAAGTTGTTCATCAGGTTCGAGAAGAAGATGAACAGCTCCATTCTTGCCAATTGCTCTCCCAAACAGATACGGCGACCGACCCCGAAAGGTATGAAGTGATCAGGCAGAGAGAGCCTGTTGTTCTCCAAGAAACGCTCCGGAATAAACTTTTCCGGCTCAGGGAAGAGTTCGGGGTCCATATTGATCTTGTTAATCAGTGGCACGAGTGTTGTCCCAGCCGGAACAGTGTATCCCTCGACGTTCCAGTCCCTAATAATTCACATAATTGTAACAGAAGTACAAAGTACATATAATAAAGTAGGCATTACTGAACGTGGAAGACGAAGGCTGTAGTTCTGTTCAATGAATCGTTTAAATGATTTAGACCACCCATCCGTGCCTTGAGCTATCTGAATCATTACTTTTGTGGTTAATAAGTTACCAGTTCAATAATTCTTAAGTTTTCCTATAGTAAAACGTGACGTTAGTCGTTGCCTATTTCCTAGATTTCTTTAAATGAACATTTTTCTTATTTGTTAGACAATAATTTGGTAATTTTGTATTTTGATCTGGTGTCAACTTTCATATCGGCCTGATGATAATGTTACGAGCCTGACTTCATATTTGAGTATAACTATTTTTAGCTGTAACCTATTTAAAAATAAAAAACCGCCTCCGTAAAATGTCTATGTCAAATATTAGTATGAAACATTTTTGTTATAAAACAGCGGGCAATCGGGCTTGGTGGTAAGTGATTCCGCCTCCTATAGACACTCACTGCAAGAAGGCTGCGCTGCCGGCCTATAAATCTTGTTTTAGTGAAGGCGCTATAACAAATGATATAATTTTAGGTGGACCTACAGTATTATATTATAAAAGTACTTACGAGGTGTTAACGTGCGCAGTGCCCAAAGGTACAATGCAGGTGATACGCAGGGTTTCAAAGATGACAGCTTCCATGTAGGGCATTTGCAGACGATAGTCCAAGGTCACAAGTTGCCCAGGTTCAACCGCTCCCGACATCTCCTCTCGAACCTTAGCAGCCACCTCCCGTTCCCGAATCATCATCAGCAATAGCCAAACGATAGCAGTCCTCGACGTCTCCATGCCGGCAGAGAAAAGGTCGTTCATCACTTGCACCGCTTGCTTTACTGTAACGTGAAATTTATTTTTCAGATTCAGAATTTCAACGGAGCCATCGATATATATACCTCAATTTATTTTTTTGCATCTATGTAATTTTTTTGTTAGAATAATAATAGATAGAGTAAAACTAGAGGAAATAAAAGACATAACAAAGTTTAGTCATGCTGTTACTTCTAATAAAAGATTGAAATGGAAATGGACAGGGCACATTATGAGAGAAGACAAAGATAGATGACGAAAAAAGCGACGGAATGACTTCTCGCTATGATAACAGAAAACGAGGAAGACTAATAAAAAGATGGGAAGATGATATTAGTGGCCCTATGTGGCTACGTAAAGCTAGACACCGAGAAGAGTAAAAGCTCTTAGAGGAGGCCTATATACAAGCTGTAAAATTCAAATTAACCGGCTTGCCGATTATTTATTAGTGTTTATAGTACTTCACATTTTTATGTACTAGGATATGTATTTTACAGCAATAAAGGCTATTATTCTTATTAGGTAACTTTTTTAAGTAGTTTCAGCTTGAGTGGATGACTATTAAACCCTGAACTTCATGCGTTTGAATAGCGGCCAATCGTCGACCCAACAACAAGGACATGTGTCAGACACTTAAGGCATATTAAGAAACAAAGTATCATGACACAAATATATAAATCTCATGCCAAAGGTTGTACTTGTTTTTTCTATGTAAGAAAATGACTAATTTCCTGCTAAGCAAATAATTAATATTTAATACGGTAACCCTGCTGAGCGAATTAAAACATTCAAGTGCGTGACAAAGTTGATTTAAGTAATTTATATTTTCAATAGCATCTAATTCTCTAAAATAAAACACCGGTCGCTAAACCAATATCGATTTGAATATTTCACCTAATAATGAGCATTTCAACATACCTTTCTCCTTGTCTTCCAAAACCGTCTGCAGCTCACCACCATCAACGCCCTTGTACATCTCCTGGAGGTAGTAATCCAGCAGGTCCTCAGGAGTGTAGTCCATTGACGAGTTCTTCCGCATTTCAATCCGGCTTATCAGATGCGCCTCATGGAAGCTACTTATCTTGTCCAGGTTCGCCTTGATCTCCTTCAGAACTGCTTTCTTACCTGGCAGTCTCTGAAAGAGAAGGACAATTATTGATAAATTTATTTTTAAATTATTTCTCCTATTATTCCTCGGGTTTTTGAGAAAATCGTCAAGATATCGCTTGTTATGATTAAAGGCCTGTATTCACTTTGATTAGTGATTAGTGTTTAGGAGAAAACAAGTGTGGACAGAGACTGATTAGTGCAGGTGATTAGTTGGCTGCGTAGTAAAGTGATTAGAAGCGTGTTCTATTTTTTTGCGACTGAACTGCGAGTAGTGACGTCGCGTGCGCCCTCCCTTCCCCCTCACTGCCAAACTATTGACAACTGAATTTACTTGCACTATACACCTGCACTAATCATCCTCAATTACTAATCACTCAGGCTTTTAATAAAGTAAGTGCTTACCATATAAATAGGCAGATGTTCGCCTATATGGACGGAACCGAAGAGCTGCATTCCTCGCGTAACCAACGCATTGAAAGCCTGAAATTGTGGATCTCCGTCAACGAAGCGGTAACTCATCATCAACTGACATATTACGTTGTGGATATGTCTGCCTAGGACCAGGACGGGGTCTTGGGGCTGTTCTTCCTTAACAGCTATTTCTGTTACCATCTCTTGCACTTCATCCTAAAACAAAATAAAATTTTAGTACGTCTATGGTGCCTAGTTTAAATACTTTTGATATATTTATAAATTTATAAAAAAAAATTGTTAATAAAACCGTAGATATTTAAAAATTGCAACACTAAATGTATTATTCGCACTTCTCTATCAAAAAAAAAATTGATTATTTATTTTAGACTTAATAATATTCTACATAAAACAAAAAAAAATATATTTTTTCTTATTTTAAACAATAACTACACATTTGACAATTCGATTTTAACAATTATTAATTTAAATACGCTTTAAATTCATCTAATTAACTTCCTTCTAGATATTCTTATTTTCCAAAGTTTAATTTTACAATAACGGCTCATTGGTCTAGTGGTTAGTGACCCTGACTGCGAATCCATGGGTCCCGAGTTCGATCCCCGGCTGAGACAAACATCGATGTGATGAGCATTTGGTGTTGTGCTTAGATCTTGGGTGTTTAAATGTGTATTTATATGTCTATCTATCTATAATATGTATGTATATCCGTTGCCTAGTACCCATAACATAAGCTTCACCAGCTTAGCATGGGACTAGGTCAATTGGTGTGAATTGTCCATTCACAAAAAAAAAACTGACTGGGAATAAGGACGACATAGAAATCGACATTCAAAATATAAAATAGGCAGTAACGTTATAGCAAACGTAGCATGATATTACAGACTAAAGCCTAAATCGACAAATAGTACTCTAATGAATAATTTCAATACAAAAATTTATTCAAAACTATATTTCCTGAGATTTATAGTTTTTACAAGAGGAGGGTAGCACCGGTAGTATTACCGTCTACAAACGAATACTTCAGCGTAACATCAAATTAACAATAACGAATTACCAAACTTACAATAATGCAATTTTCAAACTTCTGCCTGCTCCACAACCTGACACCGAGTGCACGGAACTTGTCAAGAACGAATTGGCGTTGCTTTTTCCACAGGATTCCTTCGCTTAGTATTATCCCTGAAAACGTGGGAGCAAGTTTTTTTACACAACTTACATCAATAAACACATAGGACTAATCGGTTGTGAGCATATTTTTCCAGGCTTAATTAAGAAAGAACTTATGACAAAAAAATACAAATGTGAAGTATCTTAGAATCAGTTTTAATCAATTCGTTACAGAGTTAAATTAGGCGTTGAAGTGGCGCTCAATTTATACATATATATTGTACTACAGCCGGAGTCATATCTTAATCTAGTATGGTATGCTACGGGCTACGTCGTAGCGATGATATGTCAGCAAGTTACAGTCAAGTAATTTTTGAAGGAAAGAAAGAAAAAACGTTATTATACACAATAAAAGGATACTTAGGTAAAATAAAGTGCAAGGGCCCCCACACTAGGAAAACCGTGGTCAGATAGTCTCTTCCTTTTGATATGTTAACGGTACTTAACAATAATTTCTACATAACACATTATATAATTAAAGTAAACGAAAGGAGAAAAGGCGTTGGGCAAACAAAGTGCGTTTTTGGGTTGCTTATTTTGTATGTGTATTGCATTGTGTATGTGGTGTGTCTTTCTTTTCACAACAGTCTGCATATTGCTATTAAGTTTAGTTGTCTAACCATTAAGTCTTGTTTCATTGAACAATTTTGAACTTGTAATAAATGTTTGGCTTAATATAAAAATCTTATATATAAATCTTCTGTGTGTGTTTGTAATTAATTAAACACAACTTTAATACTCAAACTGATAGATTAAACACATGTTAAAGTAAGCGGGCTGATTTTGATAATTTGTTATGTGTGGATTCGAGAATGGTTTATATTTACAATTTGATGATTATTTCTATTTTTGTATCAATGACGTATGTACTGAAAAAGTCTGTCAATTTTGCTAGTATTTACATATAAAACTTACCATAACCACCAAGCAGATTGTTCAACGGAGTCTTAGGACGGCCGATCGAATCACTTTTGTTGAACACGTCTCTAAGGATATTAGCTGATGATATGCATACCACAAGGCTGTTACCCAGTCTCAAGGAAAATATATTCCCGTAACGTTTAGCCCATGTGAGGTACCAAGAGTGGGGGGAGCCTCGGTACAGCCATGGCAAACATCCGATGAACGGAAGTCCATAAGGTCCTGAAATTACAATCAATTGAAAAGTAGTGCGGTTTTTCCCCGCAAAATTAAACGAATGCGGGGAAATTGCAGTTCTCGTTGCATCACAACCTTCAGAGAATAACGGCCTTTGGAAAACTGCCACTTTATCACGTTCATGTTTGTTTATAGATAAATTCCTTGGGAAAAGGCTGAATCTAATTCTTATGCGAACGTGATACTTAATAAAATAGAAACATCTTAAACATAGCAGCACTGATCACTGAATGCATATTATCTCTGTTTTCCTTGTTGTTAAGAATCGTCTAGCTAACGTACTCAACGTGTTCTAATCTCAACAATACCTACTTGAATTATACATTTGAAGGGCAAGATTTTTCTAGTAATTACTTAGTTATTCAAGGTTTAAAGACAATTTTTTTGAACGACTAATATCAGTATCATCAATAGAAAATATGCATTTATTTGTGGTTTGGTCTCGAGAATGTGGTAAAATGGGGGATGGAAAATTGATTTTATGGAAGTTAAACGGATGGGATAATGTAATTAAAGAGAAAAAGCTTACCTGGTGGAAGCCGCAACCGAATTTGTTTCACGAAAGCGATCGTCCAGCGCGCAATAATAGTTGCAAACAAGGCCACCGCAGTCAATCGAAAGAAATTATTCCAATCGTATGCGTAAATATATTGCAAAATATATTCATCTAACACACAAGGAATAACATTGAATAAAAAATACATATTTCCAAATTTGTTTAAAAAGGATCGTATTTTTGCGCGCTAGCCCGTCTCGCTCCTGGTTGAATGTGATTCGAAACTTAGTGACTGAGCTGTAAATTTTCTAGTCTACCCTCCTCTTGTAAAAACTATAAAAACGAATTTAAAACTACCCTCAAATTTTCTCTTTGGTCAAGTTATGTTTCTAGTAGGTTCTATGTGATTTATGGGCGAAAATGACAGAAATGTGCTACCATATAGCAAACCATTGAATTTATATAGACGGCGAGTAAATTATCTGCATAATATGTTGATCGCCGATAAACTTCCTTGAACCAATAGCGTAGTATTTTTCATATTACTGACGTATATAACAATATATATACATATACTATAATTATAGTCACTTTATATTTTATGGTCACTTTCATTAAGTGTAGTAAAACTTAAAGTAACAAAATATTCCTACAATATATTTGTTTTCTTCCTTCATATAAATAAAATATTTTGTCTTAAGCTTAATTTTTCAAATACACAATGTACAATTTGTGGCTATATAATTAGTTTATTATAGCCACAAATTGTATATTTGTATTTCAAACTCACATAATATAACATTTAGAACTTTAAGTGAATAATTTATTATGAAGATATAAAATTTTTGATAAAAATATATTTAATTACATCGTTAGAAGGAATTAAATTTCTGGGAAAATATTTTTATAATATTATAAGTGTGCATTTGTTTTTACGTCTAAGAGGTAGCTGAAACCCTGAAGGTATAGTTAGTTATTAGGCAATCTAAATAAAATATCTAATTCAAGAAAATGTACGTACAATGTACATCATTCTATAACGTATGTTGAGGGACAACAAAATTTTCATTTTGGGAAATAATAGTCTATCCGGATTATGTGACTTTATAAAATCCTAAAAGGTTCTTAATATTCAGATAACAGTTTTATTATTATATAATGTATATGCTAGCATCAAAACCATATCTGTTAACAAACAATCATTGACGAATAAAAATACAGACAATATTTTAATATTTCAGAAATAAATATATCATATGGTACTCAGAGTAATACAGCTTTCTAAAAGTGAAACAAATTGTGGAATTGACCAATCGAGTTTTTAAGTTAATTGGATGCAAAAATACAAATATTTTCCCGTAATAAAATTTTGTACTAAATATATACAGGCTTAGATTTCATCTTAGACATAGTTTCATTATAACCAAGTAGGTGATGATTCTGCTTACGTACGACAACGAAAGCCGTTACACAATCAAAGTATCGCAGATGTTCAAACGCCCAACCTCATTGGTGAGAAATGGCTTATCCAGACTTAAACTACCCTCAATTTATTTAATTTAAAATAACAGTCTACAGGACTATGTTCGTTTTATTACATCATGTTAGTAAATAAAAAAGGACCATCAATGAAAATTTATATATTTTTATTTAAATTGCTAAATAATCATATACAGAGCAGTGACCTCTTACAGGATATTAAAATTGTCGTCCGATACTCATTTCCCAGGTCTAAAATCAGCAATATTTTCCAAATTCCTTCACCAAAAACCAATCTAGGACTTCAGGCACCTCTCTTTCGAATTCTTCGCGATTATAACGGATTGAACGGTGCTTATCCGGAGCGGGATATATTCGGTAGTGGGCTGATCGGTTTTAGAGAAAGCATTGTTGGGTGCCTATCTCGAACCTAATTCGCTGTTTTGCTGATGATTTTTTTTTCTGCTTTTCCAAAAATGTCTGGTAACTTTATTGTATGCTTATTTTGTCTTATATTTTAATTGTATGTTATTATTGTTATGTTTACTTAAATTGTCATACATTTTAGATGGAAGATTTTGTAAAATATGCCGTAGATTTAGTACTATGTATGATGTGGTAAACTTTAATAAATAAATAAAGCGATTTTTTTTAATATATGTACTCGGGCATACAGCCTGTATATATTCTTTCGTAGAGATTTCCTTATACAACACATGTTATCGGTTCATTGCACTTATGTACCTAATGATGTCAGTGTGCTAACTCTATTTTATAGGGCAATGACCGTGAAGGTCACATCATTATCGATTAGGTATCAGGGGCTTACATAAGCATTCGTGATTATATTATCTTGCATTATCGTCAAGATTGTTATGTATTCCGGGGTTATTGACTTCGCAAGGACGTGTAGGGCAGGAGCTGAACAACGATACATGTTATGTAAGATTAATAATTTAAAAAAGGAATGTGGCTTCGTTTTACTGTCATTGGTCGAAGGGAATACCGGATCGTGTCGCGTGTCTGTGATTGGATAAGATGCTATTGACATATCACAGTCAAACGAAACGTGTTGTCGTTTTTCGTTTCTAAATTCTTAAAAATTATGATAGATAAATATATATACGATCGATTTTATTATATAGGTTTAATGCGAAATTGAATTGTTTTGGTTGAAATTGACACAGGAGGCCTTTCTACTTGCCTGAATAAGACGCAAAAATATATCTGCCCATTGACAGGCAAAAATTTACCCATTAACTGGCTATAAAAGGGCAAAAAAGGTTGTTTATTATTACCTTATTGTGTGTAAGTTGATAGTTTTTTTAAATAACTGACAACACTATTTCATTTATAAAATATATATGAAATAAATTTTTCTACCAGCTCTTTGCACGTAGTCTATAATTTATGAGTGGAAACTGGCTGGAAGTAGTGATTTGCTTAAATAATAATTATTGTTTTGATCTTTCAAACACGTGATTGCGTAAATATCTGAGAAGTTCGTGTGAATTCTAGAATAGTAATATAGTATTTTAAAGGGGTCGTTGTACTTACACCTGTGTTTGCAACTTTGATATAAACAATTAATTACCTGGTATCGATTTGTAACTCACTTTTCGAACTCACCAGCGGTTTTCGCATCGGCGGTCGCTCTCAAACCAGCGTGAAGCAGTCATTTTACGATTTGGCATTCTGATAAACAATAAACTACAAGCTCCCACCTTTTCAGAATGCCAAATCGTAAAACTGACTGCTTCACGCACTGATGTGAGAGCGACCGCCGACTGCGAAAACCGCGTGCGAGTTCGAAAAGTGAGTTACAGAACCCCAGGGCTGGTATCGATTTATTATTATTAAACATATCACGTTTTGACTTAGTCATGTGAATATGTAAAGATTTCCCATACTTAAATTAATTAATACATTGTAACATTTCGTAATACATACACATAAAAATATTAAAGAACTTGGTGGATATATAATTGAACTATTATTTACACATTTATTAGCAACACACAAATATACCGTTTTTACAATAGTAATAATAATTAAAATAATAAATACTCGTATAAAATTAAAACAAATTTGAAAAGTTTGGTCCCTGAGGCAGTGAAATGCTGGTAGCATTTCCTCGCTGTATTGCGATACTTATTTGTTGAGCGAGGAAAGTACCAGCTCTAAGGTCATCGATACTATCTTATTAGCTAGTTCAATATTTTTTTTAAATAATAGATTAGGAAAAAGGGATGGCTCACCTGATCTTACCCGGCGAGTGCGTTGCCTGCCTTTTAAGAATTTGTACGCTTTTTTCTTGAAGAAACCTAAGTCGTATTGGCTTGGAAATACCTCGACAGGCAGCTGGTTCCATATAGCGGTGGTGCACGTTCAGTTGTGGAACGACAGACGTCGAGGTGATATGGAAATTTCGTATTCTGACTCGACGTTCGATGATGAAACTCAGGTGGGGGAATTCATGCGAACAACTCCTTTTGACATTCTCCATGGTAAATGCGGTAGAACATGCATAATAAATGATGTAGGCTTAATATCTAGACGGACAGAATTTGAAAATATATTTAAAAACTAGGTTACATTAAATTGAGATGTGTTAGACTTAATAGCAAAAGCAATAAGTCTAGTCTAGAATAATTTATATTATAGCTGGGACAAGCTGGAGTTGGCTAGAATAAGGTTTGTAACTAGTCTGGCCATAAATACTGTAACATAAAAACCTTTTTTCAACTTTTTAATTATTTTGAATTTGGAACATGTAAATTATTTTAAAAACTTCTTTCGATTTTGCGCCATTTTACATATCTTTTTCGTGTTCATTCCTTTGGAATCAGCGCGTAAATCCAGAGATTCGTGTAGAATGTAGATTAAAGGCTTGTATAAAAGCCAAAGGTGGCCATTTCAAATAGAGTATTTTGTTATTTTTTTGCTGAGACAGTAATAAGTATGTAGGTATAAATTAAAAAAATAATGCTTTTTCATTTGTAACAGAACATAAGTTCAGCCATAAAGCTGGGCTAGGTATATAGGAACGTTATACTATTTATTAAATTAATCTCATTTAATCTCTTAACTCGCCCGATAGTTTTGGTTCAGAATATAGTATTTGTAAAGTATCGCTATCAATCTTAGCACAAGATCAACTGATCACAGCACTTTGCAATTTTTTAGTGAAACATGTATCGAGCAGTGTTGACCTAGTGGCTTAAGTGATTCTCATCCCTGTTGTCCTAGGTTGAAACCCGGCTGTGCATAGAATTTTCTATGTGGCCTTGCTAGTATGGTAAAGGAAAACATCGTGAACAACAGGCACGTCTCGGCGACAACGTTTGTCAGACACGGAAGGCTACTACCTAGCTATTAAAAAAAATATCATGAAACAGCCCTGCGATTCTGTAACTCACTTTAAACACACACATAAACAATAAACTACAAGCTTTTCAGAATGCCAAATCATAAAATGACTGCTTCACGACTGATTTCAGAGCGACCGCCGATGCGAAAGCCGCTGTGTGGGTTCGAAAAGTGAGTTACAGAATCGCAGGGCAGACCCAGAAATCTCAGAGATATTTTTTGTTTAATTTTTTATTTAAAACTATAGTGAGTATAGGAATAGCAATATGTAATAATCGCGTAAAACAAATGCAAAATTTTAAAATGATAAATTCGTACTGAAATTAAAAAAAAATCGGCGATGCCTTAGTTTGTCCTAGG